GTAGTTTTGGAGTAGAAAATGGCGATAGGTGGAGAGGAATGTCGCTCTTCTTTTTCTCGGCATTTATGGCGTTTTAACGCTATGAAATCGTCTAGCAGTGTGCCAGAATCCTTTATTATATTACAAGAAAGCGATATGTATCATTAAATTTTTGAAAACATGTCGACAAGTGCTTTTTACCTTGATATTTGCAGGCGGATCTTCGAAAGTCAGCAACATGTATCTGTCCCAACGGCTGTTCGGATCGCGGGACCTTATCTAAATAAAAAGAATAAAAGCACAGACTTATAAGCCAATTAAATCCGGTTTTCGGAGAACTGATCAATCACTCCGCGATATGAAATAAACTCTTATTACCTTCATAAAATTTTCGACTGAAGCTTTCGCTATGTCTAAAAGGGTCGTCCCCAAATAAGAACGCTGATTCATAGACGCACTTGTATCTATTAGAAAAAGTATGATCGTCATTTTGATGATTATTCATTTGATAATCGGTTCAAACTGTCTGGAACCGTTACGATTAGACAGTACGCCCTTAAACGGCGTCTGTCCTTCCGCACTCGAACAATGGCGTAGCTCAAATAGCTGCCTAAAATCAGCAGCCAGCACGCCACGAAATGTTAGCACGTGACCACGACGCCATTTATGATTTGATTGGATAGTTTTTCTTAGGCAGGGAGCGTATCATGATATGTGAATAAAAGTAAGTATAAAATCAATTTTCTTAGGACAATGGCATTATTTCTTTTCTTCAATTTAACTTTAAATATGGTTTTAGTTGCTAAGTTAAACTAAATACGAATTTAACAAACCTTTTTTTGTTTTACGTAAGATTATATTACAATTATTTCTCCCATCAATAGCCGATAGCAAATACGATGGTAGCCCAAAGAGACATTTAGTCAACCCGTTAGATGCTATACAGGCCTTTAATGTTTCACGCGCACTGTTCAATACACACATTTGGCGAGTCTAAGTTTTTAATAACGGGACTCGGGTTATAAAGAAAAACCTTCACAGTCACGAACAATACGCTTGGATATGAATTATTCACCCCCTAGTATGTTAATATATAAGCGTTGTCAACAAAAAATTATCTAAAAATTCTTCATAATGGCAGGTTAGACTGTGTCAGCTGAATATCTCTGTACCAGTTCCTGTTATCTTTAACATTTGTGCTGATTCTATGTATCCATGCCAAGAACATTCGGGGGTTGAGTGGGTTGGGGAGGAACATCGGAAGAAAAATAAAAGTTAATATATAGACCTAATGTATCACAGTAGTAAGCTGTCGTCGTCTATAAGTGATAATAACGTGGTGTATGTTATGAAGACAACGTGTTTTACGTCAACGAAACTATTTGCAGATTACAGTGTTGACATAACTATGCAGATGTGACAGATTTACTTTATTAGGCTGTTATATTGTGGCACCATCTAATTAAGACAGCATAAATGTAAATGTCACTAATTCTTCAAATTATGTCGAAGCATTAAAATTGCTAAATCGTATTGTTGATGTAAATTATGTCTTCATCACATGATACAGAAATATCGCTACATGAAAGCTAGCACATCTTAATGGTTACTTATAAATTTGTTCTTAATGTAATTTATATTTAGCTATCTTCGTCTGCCTCAAAATCATTGACAGTTACAATATTCTAATGAAAAGGGGGGGATAATTATTTTGATAATACAATAGATGATAAAACGCGCACTAAAATGGAAAAACAGGATCACCCTCGGTGTGTATGTTAAGAAGCTTTTTCTTCTTGTCTTAGAACACCTACTAGCATTGCATATAAATAGCTGTCAGCTTGTTATCTAAACATGTAAATAATAAACTGCAGTTTGCAGAGAACAGTTAATAATATCGATTATAATCTCTCTCTCTCTCTCTCTCTCTCTCTCTCTCTCTCTCTCTCTCTCTCTCTCTCTCTCTCTCTCTCTCTCTCTCTCTCTGATGATAATGTAATGATATGAGCCTTTTTTCCCCGCTGCAGAACGAAGCATAACGCCAATATACCCTGACTACCGACAAGTTTAATAATACAACAAGTATTGACAGACAAAGGAATGACAACGAGGTGCTGACCCTGTGTCAGAATGTTGGTATCAAAAAAACGTTGGAGAATGGATCTGTATCATGAATAAATGTGGATATCATTGGGATATTCAAAAGCCCTACACATTCACATCCATATATCCACAACCAATTATCTGCCAAAATCCTTATATCCACAACCAATTATCTGCCAAACAAATTACTGCTAAAAATTTACAAAGTATATTATTAGTGGTTATTTATTCAGACAAGTGGCATGCTCTTGTATCATGTGTTATTATACTAATAAGTGGCAACCCCCAAAAAGCTTGCCATTGAGAAATAAATTAGGAACGAAAAACGACCGAAGCTTTAGTAAGTGTTTGTAGAAAATTATTGAAAAATACGGATATCATCAGATATATAGAATTTATATATGTTTACTTGGCACTGATAACAAGAAACTTTGTGGAGAACCCATCGGCAGACACGTCAAGCCAATGAGAACATCGCTCGACTTCTTTTGAATCAAGTCCAGAAATAAACTCATCTACAGTTGAAAGGATAAACATAATTTTTAATAGATTGGTCATTTGCTCCCGGTCGGGTATTTCACATCCCCACAGTGAAGAGTGATGCTATCTTGACTGTCTCCTTCCGCCGCCATACTGTGGTTTATGCATGCTGTACCATCGCTGTTATATTGTCGTTTACTAACCAATATTTGGATATTAACCCTACGTCAATCATTTTTGGGCGGATAAATATGTGCGTTAAGAGCTTTGAAAAGTAGTTGTAAATTCCCTTTGTTATACTTTTTTTGTGATTTGGTAAGATCAATGAAATGCATGTGTTGATTGTAATTTGTATTATGTAAGATTCCTCATAAAGTGTTATACCGTGTTTTTGCAAAACGTGAACTTGCATATGTTGGCTGGAGAACGTCGGTTGTGAAATCAGTTCCGGAAATGTGCTTTTTTGCAGGTTGTTCAACTCGTCAGTTTCGTAGGCATGTAAAAAAAAAATAGTTCAGAATATAGTTCTTAATGGAGGAATACATCAGAGGTCTTTTTCTCACTTGGCGGAGAAGGTCAAGATATTAAAATGACAACACTTGTGTACAGTACATAATTTATCCAAACCCATCCACTTGTAAATTTGTCTACAATCATTCCTTCGACATATAGGTTGATATGTGTGAGGATGTTTGCTTTTCTTTATGCTGCTGCAGCTTTTATTATTTGATATATTTCTCCATCAATGAATTAATAGAAGGTAAAAGAAAAATACTGTGCTCTAAAAACGAAATCCCCAAAATTTATCTTCCTTTTATTTTTAATTGTGCCAACTATAGTTTCAACCATCACAAATCGTAGTCATTTCAACCATCACACGTCGTCGTCAAAACAATCACTAAAAAAAGGTCCGAAAATACATCCCCGTTGGTTTGTACACCCCTACCGATTTCAATAACTAAAAAGTTTAATGTGATAAAAAGTGCACAGAACTAAGTCAATTGAATCATTGATTTATAATTTCTAACCTGACTGTCACTAGAATGGCACTAGTACTTGCATCCCCTTGCACCTTTCATCCTTAACGGACTTTCCATACTAACACGGCGCCATATTCCGTACACTATGGGGTAGTTTATTTCCATCCGGCAACATAATTGACGTAATTGATCCTATTCGGTAACTGCAGGATAATTCCATGAATTGCAACAACGTTGACTTGGAATTATATTCCTTTGCACACGAGAACATATGAATTAAACCGCTTGTTAAATCCACGTGAAAGGCAATTTTTTTTTGTTGTTATTTCCTTTGCTTGATTCGACAGTGTAAATATCGGAATCAGACGACATATGTATGTACATCTTTAGTCGCACATGCGCCCCTTTGCTAAAAATGGACTGGTCCAGAAACTGGAAATCGTTCTCAAGCATGTCAGTTAAGCATGAAACGCGCAGGCGATGACGGTGTTATGGCAATTCTTCTCACATTCATGTTAGAAAATATAAATCAATAAATGAATTGACGAAGTTCTTTGCACTTTTTATCAAATTAAATGTTTCCGTTATTGAAATCGGTAGGGGGGTACAAACCAATTAATAATAATAATAATAATAATAATAATAATAATAATAATAATAATAATAATAATAATAATAATAATAATAATAACCTATTTATCCAACAGCTCTCTGGTACTACAACACTTTCTTATTGATATACAGCCTCCCTGTATAAATATATTATTTCATAATAAATTATTTCCTAGTTTAAAAGCAATTATATTTATTTCAACCAATATAGTAACTAAGGATGTCATCATTCTAGTTTCCTATTTGGGTGTAAATATTATGTTAATCTATACCGACCACTTCGATAAGAAAATCCACAATTTCAGAACTGTTTTATCATCTACTCATACTTTCTGTTTTGTATGCTTGTATCATTTACAGATCATTTAAATATCATGCTGTCTTCAATTTACTTACTACAACAGTCTGGTTGTTTGTTGTTGTTTTTTTTATATAGCATTTTCTTGTACAGTTTGTCATTCCAATGAAAACAAGCTGATATATATCCCGTGACCATTGAGTTACGAGTCTGAGATCCCGCGGGTCACTATGTAAAACATGATAGACCTTTATTAATTGTTTAGTTTACTTATATTCAATAACCAACATCAACATACGTTCCATCTCTTGTACTTACTGGCAATTCTCGTATGTGTATCGTGACGTCTGGCCATATTTTATCTACGAGGTCGGCAGGTTTTAATGATGTCTAGCACTGGTACATCATGCCGCAGACATTTAGCTTGATGTCACACCCAGTCGCATTATTCTGACACCAGGCCGACCAGTCTTAACACTAACCTCATAATGCTGAGAGCATAGCGAGGCAACTGTTAGTACCATTTTGAAAAGTCTTTGGTGTGAATCGGCCTGGGGCCTGATTACGAACCCGCGAACTCCCGCATCCGAGGCGGACGCTCTAACCACTAGGCCACCGGAGCTGTGACAGGGCATTATGCATAAGCATTTCAACCTATTCCGCTCACACTCACAAAGTACACCCTCTAAGCTTATTGAGCTGGCTTATTTTCCTTTGTTCCTTATTATTATATCACATATAGGGTACCATACATTTTCAAGGGACGAAACTCACAACATTTTTCTCCCCACCTGCTCGAAGTGAAAGTAAATTAAATATTACAGGTGATTATTTTCTGTTTTCACCTCGTTTGTTTGTTGGGATAGATATATATATGATATTAGGTCACTGCAGAAATGTGATAATAAATATTGCTTGATCTTGGATAAGCTTGCAAGGAAGTCGGTTGTCGAGAGCTCGTTCAATGTAATTAACTGATATTGGATACGTGGTGTTGGCGTAGATGAACAAGTTGTTCTCCGCCTTTTCTTTCCGACATGACAGTGGCGGAAAACAGACAGAGAACAACTTGTTTGTCTAAGTGTTGGCAATCATCCAAAACTCTTCTTGATCTTCATTAGAATAATATGGTCACCATGCAACATTAATATCCCTTTTTGTCTATTCAGCAGTACGTAAATTTGCAGAACTTTTGTACATTTATAAAGTATTGCAAAAGCCAGTTTTACAAATATTAAACATTTTGATGTTTGGATTAAAATAGACTAAAGAAGGTGCGATGTTTTAATCAATCTCTTCGAAATGGATTTGGAATATATTAATAACAATATGGACTAATGGAAAGGTGGGTGCGTCAGTTGCCTCCCGAGCTCGTCGTTTCTTTATGCTTTCTAGGAGCATGATAAACATATATAAGACATATTTGTCATCTACAAGGTCAAAGAAGGGTGATGACAGGTAAACTCTCCTTAAACATTATTTCTTGTAAAATTTTGGATACAAGCTTACCTTAACAAATTATTATATATTTATGAAAACTGAGAGAGAGAGAGAGAGAGAGAGAGAGAGAGAGAGAGAGAGAGAGAGAGAGAGAGAGAGAGAGAGAGAGAGAGAGAGAGAGAGAGAGAGAGAGAGAGAGAGAGAGAGAGAGAGAGAACGTGCTGTGACAAGTTTGTTTCCTTTGTGGACGAAAACAATCTGTCAAAGATCCGGTTCAAATGGAAATTATTGTTATTCGCACTCTACATTGAACAAAGGGCTATATATTCGAGTAAAACATTTAAATATGATTTGGTAATGGTTCACACAGAGGTAAAGAATTATAGCCCTCGAAAGTGGATTGCTGCAATCTTTTCAATACATTTTATCATAGGAATTGATTATCCTTAGGAATACAAAATTTAGAAAGTAACTGTTTCTTTTTTTTATTATACTGTCTGTTACGGAAAAATCTTTTACGATATAGTTTATTCACCTAATTCTCTCAGTTTATGTGCTATTAAAAGATCATAATTTTCACCAGTACTCATCAAATAGGTTTTCGTACAAACTTGAGCAGAATATGCACTCAATGCTTAAATTTTAAACGAGGATGGAGCAGGTGCTCGCTATAATTTAATGAGATCCATGTATGTGTGAGCATATGTGTGCATCCTTGTATGGTAGGCAAATATATAGTGAATTTGTCACTTATTGAGAAAACAAAGTGTGAGTGCAAGTTCAATCAACATTCACGTCTTAAAAATGAAATTGTTTTATAAATGTTTGTAAACGTTTCAGCAATTTATAAGATATGTAACAAATGAGTAAAATATCCTCAACAACACCAACGACAATAATAATAATAATAATAATAATAATAATAATAATAATAATAATAATAATAATAATGTTTATATTAGTGCATTTATTGGTTATATACAAACCTATGATTTACATATCCTGTATATTTCAATAATCATATTTAGTAAATATTGTCGCAGTTAGGTAAATAGATTACTAAAATAAATAGAATTACATCTAGAGAGGAAAATTGCATAAACACAAGGATTTTACTCAGCATAAATCCATGTAATTAATAGTATGGTGTGATGCTAGGCTGCGCAAAAGCACGTTCTGACTCCGACACAGTGACAATTGTTAATAAGTGATTCAGTTCGTTCTCATACTTTGCCCGCATCCTTGTGTATATATTATTCAAGAGTGACAAAATCGTATAACGTTTTAGTGCCGACTTGACTTTACTTCCTTTTCTTTTGATTACAATTATTCGTGTCTGTTCTCTCAAAAGTTTTCCAAACGAAATATACAAATTTTCACATTGCTCACCATCTATATTCAATTTATCATAAAGTTCTTTATTAAATGTTGCAACTCCGGATATCTATAATCACAGATGCTATTGTATTTTACCGGGAAGTGCTCTTTCCATTGACTATTAAACTGTTAATGCATCTGTGTATAAATCATCGCCCGCGGTCCTTTCTTCCTCCTTTAATTATCCGGACAAAATAAGCGGCTCAAATAAGTGGAAGGGACTGTATTTACTGGAAATTACCAGGGTGTTCGAGCCCAATTATGCCTAGCTACGAACTTGGTCCACTAAGATGGGGTACTAATATTATTATCAACTTACCCGGAGCTCAGACCAATATTTGTATCGTAGAAGACTACGCAATGACTCAAGCATAGCTTTCAACACAATCTGTCAGTGATAAGCTGGGATTACAGATAAAAGTGACTGCGCAGTAGGTGTCTATCATTCAACTACCCTCGAACACTTTGCACCAATCAAAAAAAAGTGTGTAATGAGTCGCACGAAGCTAATGAATGTATTAGTCAGCTTTTAGCATGCCATATATTTAACTCAAAGTAGCCATGCAATTAAGACGGATAAGTTGGTCTTCTATGTGTGATTACACTTTAGTAAAGTGTGTGTGTGTGTGTGTGTGTGTGTGTGTGTGTGTGTGTGTGTGTGTGTGCAGGATTTTTTTTTAACGTATCTATAACACTTTTTCAATCGCATTGTTACGATGTGCAGCACTGAGCCATCATGCCGCAGACAAGAAGTATCCCGTCACACCCAGTCACATGACCCTGACGCTAGGCTGACCAGTCATAACACTAATCTCTTAAAAGCTGAGCACTAAGTGAGGAAGTACCATTTTATAACTCTTGTATGACTTGACCGGGAATAGAAACCGCGACCACCCGCATCCGAGGCGGAGGCTCTAACTACTTTGGGCACCGGATCAGTCATGTTAGCAAGAGAGTCTAAACAATAGATAGATTATTGTGTGTCTGCACACAACACTTAATCCTTTTTTATTCCGTCTACCCTTTCTCAAGTTAAATGTTGAGATGAGGTTGGAGATGGCTTTCCACGAGAAAAGGACACCAAAGTAACAGTGTCTGTTTCCACAAAGTGTGCGTAATACCCAATAAACGTGCGGAAGAATAACACTACAGTCAAATTTACTGTGACAAGTGACTACGTTCGTGTGTGTGTGTGTACATGTTGTAAAGGTGGTGCAGCTAGTATTAATTACTAGTACCTTAGTCCTTTTGTGAACCACAACAAAATAAGTTGAGGCTACGACATCGTAGCTAGAGGTGCAGCAAGCCCTGTTTTCCCACCTCGATATTGCCCTGTCCTTATATTGTTGCTGATTTCTCTCAGACTCATCGTAAACATTATGACCATCCAAAATCACATTTAAAGATTTTCAAATCTGTCAAATTCACGTGGAAACAGTAAAAGGACAATACAAATGCTGGATTTTTCTCATGGATGGGTAGGACCAATGAATTAGAATATTTAATAGTCGAAAAATATTACATAGTTGTAATCAAGAATTTCACACACACACACACACACACACACACACACACACACACACACACACACACACACACACACAGAGCCTGTCTTCAACTATATTTGGATCATTGGAGACAATGAAATATCCGGGATAAAATATAAGGGTATTGATTGATACCAAGCATTTTTTATTTGAACGCTTGAATTTTTTACTTTGGGACTTAAAAAAGATAAGCGCCTATATAAGCATCATGAACTGTCAAACATTGCCGTATACGGAAGTGGAATTTTCCATTGCGTTTACCATTTGGTTTCGATAGCAGGATTGTGTGAAATATTATTATCTGTAAGTTTGAATTTTTTGTAGTTTATTGTTATGTATTTTTTATGCTACAGTAGAGTGCATCATTTATTGGACGTATTTTAAAAAAAACGTTTACCGAATGCGTCTTGATACTGCGGTTTATGATAGTAAAAATATATTCCAACGCTGTTTTATCGCGGGTTATATAATATCGCGGCAAACGGGATTTTCCGATTAAATTTGGGCACGTGCTGTCTAGCAGTTGTTTACAGATGTAAGGTCATGGTCTTTGTGGTGGGTTTCCTGGTCTGGTTGGGAGAAAAACAGATTAGTGGTTTAGATTTTTTAACGTAGCTTTTTTTCTCTCAATTTTTTAGTCATATCGCTGCGATGGCTGCAGTGTAGCAGTTTATAGTGATGTCTAGCACTGGGGCATAATGCCACTGACATGTGGCATGATACCCCATCCAGTCACATTATCCTGACACCAGTCCTAAAACTAAACTCTTAATGCTGAGTGCTAAGCGCATACATGCCAAGTTTTCTGGAAATAAATTGGGGAGATTTGTGTTCAAAATCAGGGAGTATTATTCACTTGACAAGAGAAGTCAATGAAAGTCTACAGTAGAAGTTTATGCACCCCAATCCCACATTTATAACTGCAATTTTCATGTCTGAAGGTCATTTTTGACAATATGTGATGCTCATAGGGCAAACAAAGCCCTTTTTCTAGATGATAATTCTGCTAAACAGTGTGTTAAACAGGCTGATGCAATTGAAAATAGTTGCCATTCAAGCCAATTTTGAGATATTTTACTTGCCCCAAACCCATGTGTTTACTGCTATGGGAGGCTAGCTCTTTTTTTCCAGCTGACTATTGGTATTTCACTATCAACATATTGCAAAGTAACTATGGAAGATGTACATGCCTGACATCAATTTCAAGCACAAGCCCAAATCACCTAGTTCACAAATTTATTTGTATCTTTAATTAGTA